TGAACATGTATATGGTGAATTGGCAACTGGTGGTCAGTTTGCAACACCCCAGCTGAACTGAAGCAGCATGGTGCTGGGCATGGGAGGCCCACCTGAGGATTGTTGCCAGCAGCCGAAGAGGTAGAACTGGAGAAGCTGTTGAAAGGCTGTTAAGGAAGCTGTGGGAGCTGCTGGAAGCTGGGTTCTCCTGGGCTATTCTGCGGGAGGACTTCGTCATGCTGGCTTTCCTGATGAGCTCAGATGTTCTTATCATGGAAGGAGCTCGGGACCTTACTGTCACTGAGAATGGCTACGGTTCACTTTGGGGGAGCTCTGGTCTTCACTTTGAGCATCACTTCCTGGCTCCCAAGGGGAAGATGGTGCACTGCTCAGTCTCCTGGAGAAGGCTGTTGAGTTGACTTTCCTGATAGGAACTCAGCTGTTATCAACATTAGAGGAGCTCAGGACCTCATTGTTACTGAAGATGGCTGTGGTACTTTTCAGGGGAACTCTGGTTCTTGCTTTAAGGACCACTACCTGGCCCAAGTACAGATCCCCATCCTGCGAGTACAGACTTTTCTAGCTTCCACCACTGACCATTAGGCCCTCCTGGTGCAGATCCATGAAACAGGCCTCCAGGCGAACTCATGGGGGTGGGGGGAGCATTGTATGGGCTCTAGGTTTTCAGCTAGACAAATGTCAGACATTACCATGGGGTCCAGACCCTCAGCTGGATTATTTGGTCTTCAGTGTGAGGACAGGTTCCCTGCAAAAATATTACTCTTTGGGGGCTGGTGTGATGGCTCAGTGGTCTAAAGCACCTACTTAGAACAAGCTGTAGCTAAAGCACAGGGACCACGGTTCAATCCCCCAGCACCACATGCCAGCCAGCCCTGCCCCCTGGTGGGCTGAGCTGGCCACACACACACACACACACACACACATAAATAAATAAATAAATAAATAAATAAAATTTTAAAAAAAAGTATTACTCTTCGGGTGGCTTTTTTTTTTTTTTTTTTTTTTTTTTTTTTTTTTTTTTGTACCAGGGATTGAACTTGGTACCATGCACTTGCCAGGCAGGCACTTATGCTGCTGAGCTATATCCCCAGCCCAAGGGTGACTATTATAAAATAATTCTATAAATTATGTGGCCTATAGTGTCCCCCTTGCAAAATCCCAAACTATAACAATGCATGTCCAGTTTATTTCACTTAACAGTATGGTCTGTAATTGCATCCATTTAACTGGAACTGTCTCGAGCTTATCCTCCTTTGTGGCACAGTAGTGCTCAGTTATATTTTTTTAAAACCCACATATTTATCCATTCATAGGTTCACAGGTATTAAAAACTGTGCCCCTAGAAATGTAAGTGCCCATATATCCTTGCACTATGATGTTTGTAATCCTCTCAGGAGGGTACCAAGGAGGGAAATGGCCGGGTAGAATGGAACCTATAGTTTTAGGTTTTTGAGGAATCTCCTCACTGATTTTCATAGTGGTTGTACCAGTCTACACGCCTACAAACAGTGCAGAAGTTTTTCTTTTTCTCCACAATCCCACCAGCATTTGTTCTTGGTTGATTTCTTGATAACAGCCATTCACTCTGAGATAGAAGCTCAGTGCTATTTTAGTTTGTCTCTCAGAATGCCCAGTGATGTTGAACATGTTTTCATATATTTATTTGCTATTTCTATTTCTTCATCTGAGAGTTGCCTGTTCATTTTGGGTGCCCGTTTTTGGGTTGGGTCTTTTAAATTTAGGAGATCTGGGGTTTTGGTTTTTTTACTTTTGGGGGTTTTTTTTTGTATGTTTGTTTGTTTTGTTTTTAGTTCTTTATATCTTCTAGGTATTAGTCGTTAGTCTGAGGAACAGGTAATAAAGAGGGCTGGCCAAATAACTCAGAGGATTAAAGTGCCTGCAATCAGGCACAGGGGACAGAGATTCAATCCCTGGGCCTGCTGTGCCAGCCCACCCCTAGGGTGCGCTGAGAGGGTAATTGAGACTGGGCGTGGTGGCCCACGCCTGTAATCCCAGCTCTTGGGAGGCTGTAAATAGGCAGATCACTATAAGCCTGATCTAGTAGTGAGACCTGAACAGCCTGTAGACCCTTCCCTAAAATACAGAAGGAGGAGGAGGAGAAGGAGGCATTGTTAGGGGTTCCTTTTGCTGTGCACAAAGCCTTAATGTGATTCTTGACACTGTACCCATACCATAGGAAAGCAGTTAGCACATATGGAATCCTCATGACAACAGTGTAAGGTTCCTTCTTCTGATTAGAAAGAAAAGCAGAAGTGAAGAAATCCTTTACTGCTCTGAATGGGAAGGCTGACAAAGAGAAGCAAGAACCCTCGAGGAGGAGGTAGGGAGACAAAGAATTTATGGGGCTGGGTAGGGGGTGGAGCTTGTATGGGCGGTACAGTGTCCTAACAGGTGCGGACTGGGGAAGGCTTGGCACCCCCCACCCCACCTGAAAAACAAGAGAGGAAGTTGAGATTATCCAGAGGGAAGAAAGCGGAAGTCTGTCCAGGAGCAGCGCATCTTGTTCTTGAGTCCCCAGGCCATGCTATTCGCTGCCATGACAACTTGGTGGACTTTTGTATGAGAGCAGACCCATCAAACAGAGCAAGGCACCCCCTGTAACAGAGGAAGCAGGAGAGGGAGCCCTTTATTTCTCCAGCTTAGGAAAAAACAGCCTGTTTCTAAGTCCTCAGGTTCCACCGTGTTCAAGACTCATGATGCTCCAACCATATAAATACAGCTGCCCAGAAAGGAGGCGAGAGGATTTGGAATGCAAATGGATTTTATATAAAATACATCTTTCTCAAACCTTCAGAGGAAGTTTTCTATTTAAAGACCTCCTGTTGGGGCTGGAGAGATGGCTCAGTGGTCTAAAGCACCTACTTGAAACAAGCTTGGCAAAGCACAGGGACCTCGGTTCGATCCTCCAGCACCGCATGCCAGCCAGCCCGCCCCCTGGTGGGCTGAGCTGGTCACACACACACACACACCCAATAAATAAATGCAATAAATAAAAATAAATAAATATTTAAAAAAAGACCTCCTGTTGTGACCCTTCTGGTAAAGAATGCTTTCCTAATGGAATTAGTCACCACTGACTCACATCTGCCACTTTCAGGGTTGCAGTGTTGCCTAAACAAAGATCTGGCTTAGAGAAGTTAGATAAATTATAGATGCTCTTAATAAATTATATAGTACCCAAAGGCAAAAGAGTTTTTGGTTTGTCGTTGTTTTTTTATTGGTGTGTATGTATGAACAGGATCAACACTGGTACTTCTTTTTAAGTGTGGAGGATCCGCCAGCATCTAATCCTAGCCAGATCTTCCTTTCGTGGGTGTAAAAACATGCCTAAGGATAGTTTCTGTCCAGCAAGGGAGTGAACGCACGAACAACAAAGAATGACGCACAGCAGCTCCGAAGAGCTGTTCAGGAACAAACGCTGCAGACTCAGTCGCATCCTCGTCACGCCCTCGTTGCCGTGACAACTGTGAGGGAGTATGGGCGGGGCCTTGGACGCAGAACGACCCCGCCCCCGAGGTCCCCCGCGCTGGTTTGCGCATGCGTCTTTGGGTGGATGAGACGCTGTCGGAAGCGGAAGTTGCCTTGGGCCCAGATCTCGCGTCTGGGTCTGTTGGAGCTTTAAGATGTGAGTTGTTCTAGAAGCCTAAGAAACTCATCTGGATCCCCAGCTGAGACTGAGATTCTGTCGAGGAGACCCTAGAGAAGACCCCCACACACAGCAGCCCTCTTTCTCAAAACTGATACAGTAGCCTCCCAGCCTCAGTTTCCCTGTTTCTAGTTCTTAGCCGGTATTCAGAGGTGGCTTGGAGGATTTAAAGAACCCCGAGCAGGGCGGCCCCACAAGAGCTTGGAGGAGGTGGGTATTATAGTCTTGATCTTATAACAAAGGAAGCTGAGGTCCAGAAAGTCAAGCGACTCACAACAAGGGCAGAGCTGGAGCCTGACAGAACGTGGAGGGAAAGGGGTCCTCCCAGCGTGACCCCACCGGAAAGCCCGGGCTGGGGTGAGGGTTGAGTCCCATGAGGTTGTGTGGGCTGAATTTAAACAGAAGAAAGGAACTGAAGCCAAGAAATCCGTTATGCCAGGCCCAGAACACTGTCCAGGCTATAAACATGGTGGAGGAGGTTGGATTCAGGTGCCACTGTACCTTTGTGGGCACGTTCTTCAACTTACATGGAATAGTCCCCGACAGTCAAGATATCCTCCCTCCCCCAACTTCGGGCCCATCTGTAGCTGCTATTTTGCTTTCTGTACTAAGAAAGCAAAAGTTTTCTTTTCTCTCTATCCCTCTCCCCCTTCCTATCTTTTCCTCTCTGTCTTCCTAAACAGGGTACTGCTGAACTGCCCAGACTGGCCTTGAACTTGAGGTCCTCCTGCTTCAGCCTTCTACATAGGTGAAATTACAGGCTGTGTCCTCACGCCCAGCCTGTGATTTCTCCAGACCTGGAATTACTAAGGATCTGCAGATTGTCCCTTCCATGGGTACAGAGACCAGCCTGGCTCTACCTGTAACTTGGTCTCAGTTAAATGTCTTTTGTTGGGCTGGTGAGATGGCTCAGTGGTCTAAAGCATCTACTTGGAACAAGCTTGGCAAAGCACAGGGACTGCGGTTCAATCTCCCAGCACCACATGCCAGCCAGCCCCGCCCCCTGGTGGGCTGAGCTGGCCACACACACAAAATAAATTAAAAAAAAAAAAAAATGCCCTGGGGTAGGATACAGAAATCATGGGATCAGCCCAAGGGGTCGCAGCAATTATTCTGACCTGGCTAATATGCAAGCAAAAAGCTATCGGTCATCCCTTTCACGTGCATACCCACTGTGTGCTCTGTAGTTGTCAGGTTAGGGTGACAGGTCAGAAGTGTGTGGGACAGCAAGACCACATATTTGACCACAGAAATTTGAGGTTCAGATGTGCACAGAGAGGAGAACCACACAATGATTTTTAAAAGATGAAAATTTATTATAAAAGTACAGCAGATAGCATGGTGAGATATTACCATACAGTGAGGCAGGAGACAGCATCGAAGATAAAGGGGAGTCCTCTGCGAAAGACCATTACATGAGGCAGAGGCTCCAGAAGACAAGAGAAAAACACTAAGCCACAGTTTCTCAGTTCCTTAAGTACTGCATTCAGACAAAAGCGACTTGGTGTCAACAGCCTTGCGTGGCTGGAAGGACCATCCCCAGGCTTGGCTAAATTCTGGGAACAAGCAGCCCTTCGCATGTTACTAGTTATTTCTGTATATTCTGTTGTAAGCTATGGGTCGGTGTCAAAAGAAACGACGAGAAGACCTGATGAATGTAGCTTCAGAATTCTCACTGAGATTAGTCTCTCTCCCAGCAAGCCCAGAGCCTCAGAAGCATCTCACATTTATTGAGGGCTAAAGGCAGGCTAAGGAATGTGCATAATTACTTAAGGGAACACAAACTACTATCTCTATTGACTTCCACCATTTGCCTAACACTAGGTCCACACAAATGCTAGCTGGTAACATCCCAGCAAGGGATCAAAGAACAGGGTGCCAGGAGAAGCTGCTGTCTGCAGCCTTGCGTCCCAGCTTGCCGGGAATTTACAAGTGAGAGACAGCAGCTCTCCCTGGGCTCTCTCTATTGCTCCCTCTTCTGCTGGGACATTAGACTTTTGTCTCATATCTATACTTCTATAATATTCCTTTCCCAGGAGGTGGCCATCCTCTGTGCAGCGAGGCATGCGGCCAGTCACCTCAAGGGACACGCACGCACATTCTGGATGACTCAGCACTGTTGCCCTTTCTTTGACAGTGTGCTGTCCAAATAGAGTGATTGGGATCCAGCTCATAAAAAAGGGGGACTGACCAGGATAGTCCCCACCAAGCCCACCAGAGCATCCGCTCCAGGGAGCAGGATGGTTCTGTTTAGCTGGGTGCTGTGGCCCGTGCCTGTAATCCCAGGTATTCCTGGTTGAGACAGGAGGATCACAGTCTGGATAATTTAGCAAGGTCTTGCCTCAAACAGAAAGGCCGAGGGTATGGCTCAGTAGAGCACCTGCCTAGCATGCGTGGAGCCCTGGGTTCAATTCCTAGTGTGACCAAAACAAGTGAGTAAAAGAGAAGAGAAGGAATGCTTACCTCTTGAAGTCATTGTTGGCAGCACAGAACATCCCTAGCACTTTCTTCCCAGCTATAAGCAAAGGCTATGAGGAGCTTGCTATGGTGGTGCATGCCTGTCACCCCAGCATGAGAGAGGCTGAGGCAGGAGGATCACAAGGCGTTCAAGACCAGCCGAGGCTACATGGTTCAGGGACAGTCTGAACTACATAGTGAGACCCTGCCTCACACCCCCCTCAAAGAAAAGCTTTGAGGAAATCAGAAATGCTGTATCTGCCTTCTCCAGTTCCCTGGGTTCTCAAATTTAAACACAAGAGATTCCCAGAAATTCACTTCTAGTTGCCCAGCAGCTCAACTAAAGCAACGAGGAAGCAATAGAACTGAGCATGGAACCCAAGAGCTTCTGAGCATCCACTTTTCCCAGCCCTATCAAGGACCCTATTTAGCCTGAATATGATTTGTCCCCACTAGTGCTGAGACGTCACCTGTGACCATTCATTGTGATTGTCAAACTGACAGGCTTAAAGAAGCCTGCTAAGGGCTGGGGGTTTAGCTCAGTGCCTACCAAGTGTGAAATCCTGAGTTCAGTTCCCAGTACCCCTCACACAAAAAAGTTATTGACATACGCATCCAGCTGTGGCATGGTGGCCTGACCTGGGCTCTGTATCTGGGTCCCAGCTCTTTCCTCTGCACACACTTTCTGACCTGCTCTGCTTCCCCACCTCCATGAGATGAGCAGCTCTCCACAAGGCCTTTCCACCATAACATTTCTGCCTCAGAGCCAGCTATAGACTGAACCATCTGAAACCATAAGGCAAATCAAACTACTCTTGAAACTGTGGGTGTCAGGCACCTTGTGCTGGTGCAGGAGCGCTGACTAACAGTGACCAGTGTGGACAGGAAGCGGGATCTTTAGAAGGTATTTGGGCAGTGGGTGTGGAACATGACTCATGCCTTTTTCTATAGGCTAGGCCAATTTTCTTTTCTTTTCTTTTTTTTTTTTTTTAATTTTATTTATTTGTGTGTGTGTGTGTGTGTGTGTGTGTGTGTGTGTGTGGCCAGCTCAGCCCACCAGGGGGCGGGGCTG